CTTCACGCACCAGGCCAGGCCCTCGAGTGGAATCCAAATGGGAAACGATGAGTTGGGCGTCACAGCTGAGGATGACATGGAAGAAGAAATAAAAGCTTTTGGGCTGTCGTGGAGCGAGGTTGAAAAGACTGCAGAGAAGAGAGTGGAATGGAGACGTGCTACTGAAGCCCTATGTTCCACTAGGAACCCAAGGGAAAAATAATAATGACAGTAAATTAACGAAACGTCAGTTAAAATAAATTTTCGTTTTACATCCATCGGGAAATACAAATGCCAAAATAATGAAAGCAAGTTTGAAAACTTTGACACAGTGTATATCGTAGTGTTTGAAAGGAAACTCTGTTTATCGCTATGACGACACAGCACATGTTTAGAATCTTCGATGAAGGATCAGTCTTTCTTATATTTCAGTCGACTTGCTGATGATTGCCGCCAAGTCATAAAACATAAGTTGATGGTTATACGATGTATAAAGATGCATCTCTTCTGTTTATTATAGTAATTCTACGTTTTTCCCCCAACATTTTAGTATTTGATTATGTATTTACGTTATTTTGTTTTGTTCATATCATATACTTGTAAATTATTTAATTTCTAACCTTGACCGAGTTTATGTGCTTTAAAACTAGAATGTGGAAACACAATATATGTTATGACTGTTTGTTTGGGTTAATTTCAAAGCGCGCATGTACAGTTGTGTACATGCACAGATACACACACACACACACACTTACATATATTTGGCACGCTCACATTCAACTTTTTTTTTCTACATTCTTTTCGTAACCCTCATTTGTTCTTAATAAAGGAATTGAATACTTTCTTGTTGTTGTTGTTATTATTATTGTTAGTGTTCCTGTAGGTTATAACTAAGTCAAATCAATAACGGTCGGGTTATCGGACAGTTTTAAGTTGTCTCTCCTACTAACGAATATGTATTATCGTCATTGTTTTCTTGTCCTGGTATTTGAGCGTAGTGTGTGGTGTGTGTATGCATGTGAGTGACGTCTACATGTGCATGTAGACTTTATTTTTGACCTCGATGTATGTACATCTACGCAATATGGACATGCAGAAGTGAAATTTATTTCTTAATAATTAAATGTAAAAACAAAGCGTAGACCTGAATTCAGCTAGTGATTATTTTTAGATTGTACACTATAAATTACATTTTATACATAACTACCTTAGTTATGTACTACCTGTATTGTCTACGTTTTTCCCCTTCTAGTTGAGTTTGAATACTGTAGTTTGTGACTTTAAAGTCAAGACATACGTAACGATTTATTTGTAAAAGGAAACATCTATTCATGAATATATTTCCACCACACAAAAAGACAATGTCACATCATATGAGATGAACATTTCTTTACTTCCGTCCCGAAGATTTCTACCTTTCTCGAAAGTAGTGTTTTCGTTAAGCATGATTCTTTTTGTCATTCAATTGCAGACACATTTAATGATTTGTTTGCATGCGTACCAGAGTTATAGGACGAGTAAAATCTGTGTTGAAGATAAGGCGGTCGACTATTTGAAATATTATGCTTTTCATTGTATTATTTTTGTGCTTTCAGTTTTCTAAGTTGTGGGTATAAATGCACATTACTGTTGTACTTTGAGTAAGTGTAAACATAGACTTTTTTCTGAAAGGATTCATTATTCTTATCGAATAAAACAACAGTTGTTGATGACTTGGAGTTACCAACCGCTCAGTACCAAACAAAATGTACCGTTTAGTGGTTATACTGAAAATGTGGTCTAATTACGATTTCGGCTTTTCTCAACTCAGTCGCTAATTGAGTTTTTACGCTGCTGCTATCTCAACTTAAATGAAACATTTTATCGCTTCTACGCATATATTTATCAGGTTGTTAGGGAAAGAATTTGTGCAACATCACATAAGGTACTTTTCAAGATAACTAATTTTAGACAAACTCGACAGTTTAATTAAAGCCAACCACATATTAGGCAAAATGTTGTTTAATACCTGCTGACCTCTATGAATTTGTATAGTTACTACTTGGCTATTTGTAAGTCGACTATGTGAATAAAGTAGTACTACGTTGAATTCATCAGTGTAAAGGGAACAACAGAGGTGTAAAAAAAGGACTCAATAAATCCATATATTTTGATAGAATTACTTAAGTGAAGTCATTTGGATCCCCTCTATGACAATTCGCTTCTTTCCAGTCTAAATTACATTTGCCTGAGCCAAGATGTACCTATATATATATATATATATATATATATATATATATATATATATATATATATATATATATATATATATATATATATATATATATTAAATATAATATTAAACTGGAGGTGAAAATAATGTTACAAGAGTTCAATTTATTCTATTTAAATCTCAGTTTTATATTAGAGCTTGGAGAAAATCATACAATTAGGATCCTAGATACCTCGGTATTGAATATGGGAGGTGGGTTGATAGATTCATATACTGAAAACTATCATACAGGGAACAGTATTTTCATTTGAAAAACTTTATTTCAACCCAGGACAAAATGAATCTGTTTTTCTAGTTCTTTGTTTTATAGAACTAAAAAAAATCAGTTCAGAAAAAGACTGATTGAGAGAAGAAATATATTCCTTTTCAATTAGGTCTTCATCTTGGGCTGTACACTAATATATAGGTTTACAATTTAATCAAATTACCAATCACGTGGTGATGTTTTGGAAATAATGATGTAAATAATCAATAGAGTTACTAAAATTGGAAATATGAGTATTGATAGAAACAAGAAGGGGAAGAGGTGTACAAAGTAAACCTAGAAGTTACATCATGTTGACGGCCACAGTAATGAAAGTGGTCGAACAAACTTCTTTTTGATACAAAGGCTAGGTTTGTAAAGGTGGATTGCAATCACCTCTGCTATGTGAACTAACCGAGTACGTAATCCATGAGGTAAATTAATTGGAATCTGATGGATAATTCTGTAGGCTTTTCCAGTAACCACTTGATGTCCTGTGTCAACTAAGTGTGCGAGTATGGAGCTCTTTATTGTTCTAATTTGTCCCTTGTTCAGACAAAACCATAAGATAAAAAATAAAAACTTGAAAGAAATCCTGTATAAAAATTGATATCCTAAAAGATTTACTAACGATTACATCAGAAATATAAAAAGTAAATGGAGCGTCTTTACAGTTTCAGAAAAGCCAATGTACAATGTAAAGGCGATACGTTAAATGAAATAACCAGGTAGAGACTCGATACAGCTATAAGATGAACTTACCAATTTTTTTACTATCATGAAAGCCGGTACTATAGCGATCCAGGAAAGATTGCATGCAAATCTTCCGCAATTCTAATTGTATCTATCAATTCGAGTGTGATTACGAAAGCGAATACCTAGATCGTACAAAGAGACATCGACTACAAGTATGATATCGACTTTACTAAGTCGTTTACTATAGGTCTGTTCACAACAGAATAAGAAACTGTTTGCAATCTCAAAAACTGTGCTATTCAAGTCGATAAACCAAACCTTTGTGTACATAAGGAAATGGTGATTACTCTCACCTTGTCTTAGTAACATTTCTAATTCAATGACTCCATCTAATTTATTTTATTACTCTTAGTTAGTTATCATAGATACTAGTTAATCATTTTTGTTCACTAGCAACTTAATTCGCTTAATGTAGAGATTTATTACTTATTTAGTTATCAACTATTTTAATCACTATGATGTATTTGAACTGTAATTCAATTTACCGGTCAATTTTCATACCTCTTCCAATCGCTTCATACATCTACTTGAGACTTCAAATTTTTTTCATGTTTATACGTCTTATTTGTTGTCCTACTTGTAAATAGACATGTGTATATATATCTCCCTATGGTACCAGCACACTACAGGTATTCTGGTACTCTAGATTAAAAATATTACAACAAATAAAGAGATTAATTAGAATTATGATCAAAATTATCTATCTCACACATTATATTTGAACGGAATAATGACCTCTAATGTCAATCAGGCTACATTAAGCTTATATACCAACGTGCCGGATACCATCAGTGGGTACAGCATATGCGAAATCAAGTATGTAGATTGTTCAGTTGAATAGTTCTACCGAGATTTAAACGTCACTTTCTATACCTTTGTCTCTTGTTTTGAATTTATGTTGGAAAAGAAATAATCTTATACACGTTACTGTATTTGTTTATTTAGTCTATCCTGTCAGTTAGCTTAATTTCTATTTGAAGCATGACTATATATTTCTGTCGTTAGTACTCAGTTTCACGAAATATTAGGGATACGTTCGTTTTACGCGGGAGAAAAAAGCCAACATAACTCGGTAAATCAATACAGGTATGTGTTTTAAGTTGTCAGCTACAAGTATGGTGCTTTTGATGGTATTATATTCTCCGTGCTGGATGGTTTAACCGAGAAGCTTTCATTGTCTTTCTGGACAACATCATAAGGACTGACTTCAGTGTGTGCTTCAAGTTTTCAGAAATACTATTCCCTTCTAATCGCAGATATGCCTTGCTTGAGGAGTCCCAGCAAGCAAGAAACCTGAGTCCTGGATTACATACCTACTGACTTCTAACATCTAATGTATCGTAAAAATGTATTATTCTTCCTGAAGTTTGTGCTGATGATGTTGTCCAGAATGACAATGAAAGCTTCACGATTGAATCACCCAGTTTAAAGAACACAACACTATCAAAATCCATCCTCCACAAGTATGGTATGTTTTGAGTGACAGTATTACCCTTTTACAAGGACTAAAGTAGGAATTGAATCAAAGTATACTTAGTTGTTGATCGAGATTTCACTAGTTGAAACTAATGAATCACAATTTCTGTCTATTCATTTTATAAAATATTCATTACTGACTCTGTGGGGATTACTTGAACTGTTGTTAAGCATAAGCCATTGTATTTATTAATTAACAAGATACACCTGCTCATATTATAGGTACTGATTCTCGAATAACTGACTTTCTCTTGTTTGCTCACCTATTTATAGGTAGTCGTATTGGCCGACAACCCAATGCAATCAAATATTATTGTGCTCGAGAGATTTCTCAGCTTACTAACTCCAGTGATGGGGAAGCAATGGCAAATCCATCTACAAGTTCATCAAATCAGCAGCATGAAACAACTCGTCGGAATTCAATTAGTCACAGCAGTACTAGTAGTGGTAACACAACTTTGAGTAGTAATATCAATAATAATGCTAACAGCACTACTCATTATGATAATAATAACAATAACAATAATGAACATGATTTATCATTAATTGGTGAAGAACGCTGTAAATCGGCAATTAGTCAGTCCAATTATCCAACATCCAGTTGGCCTTCAGCTAAGCGTATATTGTCTAATTCGGATCATATGGATTCTGTCAGTACAACGGTGTCAACAATCGCATCATCAGCAGGAACATCTGTAGTTTCATCAAGCATTCCTAGGACGATACCAGCAACCACCAATCCATTCACTGGACGTAATAGTCAACACAGTGAACTACAAGGCAATAATGCAACGTTGAAAAATGGATCAGTGCCATGTTCATCCCCATCCTCATCTTCATCACCACCGTCAGGATTGAAACATCATATAAAGTACAAACAGGAAACACGTACACACTACCCTAACCCTCAATCACGCCTTCATCATACCCAACCGTCTCCGTCACAAAATAGTTGTTGTAGTAATAGTAGTATTAGTAGTACCAGTAGTACCAATAATGGTGTTGTTCTCCTTTCTGGCCCTTGTAATCCAGTTGTGCAAACATCCTCGTGTTCTGCTAACGGTGGTGGTGGTGATTACCTTTTCAATGACTGTCCAGGAAATATTGTTAAAAGACGTAAAACAATATCATCAGTGATGGACATTGGATCGGAGATTGCTGATAGTAAAATCACATCGTCAAAGTTAACTCCACTTAGTTCAACATATATGCATGATGATGATGATGATATTGATAGTGATGGTGGCTGTAATACTATTGGTGTATGTGATCGCGAACATTCTGACCATCGTTATCGTCATAGACACCATCATCCTCATCATTATCAACGTCATAATACGGAAGTAGCAAATTCAAACGATGAGCATATATATAGTGTCATCAATTCAAGTGGGGTCACTGCTGACAGTAGCAGTAGCAGTAGTAATTATGCTAGCGGTACTGGTGGTAGATATGAGAAAGTTAGTGATGTTAAAACTCATAATATCTCTATGGATAATTTCCCATTTATTGATCAATCAAGGCATTTATTAAGTCAAATCAAATTGCCTAGTGATAATATTCACACCATAAGTAGCAGTAATAACAGTACTGATCGTGGAAATATTCAACAATTACAATTTCGAAGGTGAGGTTCTTTTTTTACATTCATTTTTCCTTCTTCTTGAGTACATTTTCTGTTATGAACTAATATCTAACATTTGTTTGTCATATTACGTCTGAGTTTATTTTCAAAATGTAATTACTGTTTGTAGTTCGGTGGTTACTATGACTAGATGGATATCCAGTATATATAAAAGAGATTTAAATTCTTATTCCGCCTTACAATGATATCACTATCACCTACATAAAACAGGTGTACATTTGAGCTTGCTATGCACGCTTACATATCAATTGTCTCTAAACTTACCTTCTCATTATCAGTACTGATCGTTTCGATGTGGCTAGTAGGACTTATACATTAGAACTAGTGGTACCTGACTAATTACATCGTCCAGTATATATATATATATATATATATATATATATTCTACAAGAAAATCTGTTACCGTTATCATGTTAATGTTTACAAGCTTTTGTATCTCAATTTGGTGCACTAGAAAATTTGACTACTATAACTGCTGAAACACCAGAAACTTCAACGTGGAAGAAGCTTTCTGAAGTAATTACAACCCATTAAAAAAGATAAAAGGAATATAAGAAATGAGAATATAATGTTTATTTGATTTCCTGCATATCGAAACCTACTTCTTCTTGTTGTACTTAATGGGATGAAAATCACTAGTTCGAAGATTGTAGTTGAAATCAGGTTGGAATCAAACTTTATGATCCAATATATTTTACCGTTGTGTACCTCCTTCTTATTCTTTGTCTTCTCACTTTTCTTTTCTTAGCTTTGTGTTTTGTTAGGTTCTTAGTCTGATAATTAAGGAGTATATTGTACCAATCATATAGCAATAGTCTGTTATTTTTCGATGAATACTTCGAAAAATATACGTCTATTGTATTGTATCTTTAAATTCAAGTGAAATTTCTGCAGTCAACCATTGAGAAAGTTTTTCATTTGAAAATTACGACTTCAGAGTTGAGGACATATATATTCGATGAGGTGTGATAATAACTTCACTTTACCTAGTTCTAAGTATTCATCCTTCTGTCCATGTGTAAAAAAAAATGTCTTTACGTATACAATACACTATTGGGCGTCGATATTTTTTAATGGTGCAGGTAAAAATATTCTCATGATGTACAAATTTGGATTAAAAAAAAGATGATAAAGTATGTGTATGTAGCAAAAGAATTTAAACCAGCTGCTTCTGTTCACTCGCCAGTTCCTTTACTAATAGTGTAACGAGATTTTCAGATAAAAAGACGTAAGTGGAGTCAGTCAGTTAGTATCAATATGAAACATGGCGTTATTGAGTAATATTTCGAGTCATCATATCTCGTATCGACACATAAGGATAGAAGAAGCCAAGATGGAACACTGAGAAGTAAGCGAGAAAGTAATGAAGTGTAGAAAAAGAAGTCACACAAGAGAGGATGAAAGGATAAAAAAAACAATGAAATTCATCATGACGGTGGATAGATCTGCGCTATTGCGATGGATTCTGTGCTATATCACCTACAGTCTCTTCCGACCATCGGTTTCTCTTATCACACGAACACAAGGCAGGAAGTCCACATTTCCCTGGAGGGCTCAAACCAACGGTCAGAAGTTTCATGGGTTGTTGCCACCTTCGATTTATCCTACTTCAGCTGACATGGGGCCTCTAGTAGATGGTGACTAAACATGCCAACACCATCTTAGTCGGTTTTATCCACCGACTTACTTTTGCATTGCTTACGTTATAGTTCTACTGTATACGAGTGTTGTTACAGAGACAGCGGTGGTCAAGTACCTGAAGTCTTCTTATATCCCCTACGTGTGTTGATCATATTTCATTTTAAATAACTAATTACGTCTTTATATCATGAAGTAATAATCATAAAACAGTCAGTTCACTTGGATATATATGGATCTGTACATAAGAAATTTTAATCTGCTAAAAGCTTATCACTGAGTTTTATTTTTTGATACCACGTATTCATTATTAAGATTGATACTAAATATTTACGTATGCTGGGGTGACTGTGTAGCTGTACTTGTGTAAAACGAATTTGTCGTGTAAATATTCTGTTACACAATTCCGTGGTAATGTTTATCGGTAACTTGTGTCTATAAATAGTGTGTGTTTGCATCTGTAGGTGAAGACAAATGACCCTAAAAGAAAGCTTTACTATTTTTAGACTTTATGTACATTGCAAATTCCAGCAAAATCTTACTATGTTAAGGAACATTAAGGTAGGTATGTGTTTAACCTAGCTCAACGACGAATGGGTTGTATTCTTTGTGTCTAGTATTTAGTGGGTTTTTTTTCTACACGACTGGTAAACATCTGATTTAGTTTGTCTCAAGTAGATCTTTGATATCATTCATATCTCAAACTAATACTTGATGTCTAGAAATGTTTTTATTCTTGGTCAAATGGTTACGTTTCGATTTTATAATAATCCTCTTAAGCAGTTTTTGAAAAGTGAATTGATGTCAATAGAGAAGTGATTAGAATCTAGGGAGTAGTAGACAACTATTGTATTGTAGTTTATCATAACTGATTAATATTCATTCACCATATATTTCATAAAAGGTTGAGCCTAACACATTCTACAGTGAATGTTTAATCGTAAGGTGTTGGTCGATTTTGAATAAAAATCCCACCAGATTGTTAGCCATTTACTTAAACTTTACACTGGGATTTATTACTTAGTAAACCAAGATTTTTTTCAAATTTGAGATTTTACATTGTTTCATCAACCGTTTTCCTCGTTATACGACTACACACCTACAACTAATTCACTTTACTACATGGTACAGTTTATCATTTTCTCATGGAACTGGTTTATGATGAGTGTAAGAGTGAACTGAACGTTTCTCATCCTTCCCATTTTCAATTGTTTTACCGAAGACATTGCTGAAAATGAGCTTCTTAGATACTTGTCTTCTTTGGTCATAACCTTTTTGTAAATTTATTTGTTCAATTTATATCCACTTCACAGCTTGTTTGTTATTCGACTGAATTAATGCTTAGGATATCACCATGTTATTCTTCATTAATTCTATATCACTTCTTCTCATTCACCAACATTTTCCCAATAGTTGCATAGATATAATCAAACAGATAGTTTAGCGTTTTTTCCCATGTCATTACCATTCATTCATCGTACTGAAAATCCCTCATACTGTGATTGCTTTATTCACATAACCTTGAGGATATTTGATGAATCGTATCTGTACTAAATTAAGTTTTTGCATTAATGAGTTACTCCAACTTATTCCCAGATTGCTGATCAACTTTCATTTCGATAGGTTTGTTATTACTAATTTAAATTATGTTCACTAGTTAAATCTAAAAATAACTTCAAGGTCAAAGCATTCAATGGAACACATAGATGAAATTTAATTTTATGTTTTGTTTTTAAAAATATCTTTTGATAGTTGTTCATTAGTGGATAGATCATCTCCATTAACTGAAACTCCTTTGAATGATCCGCATGCAGTTAGTACTCATTTAAGTCAACCGTATGTAAGACCTACACAATTATGTTTATCTACAGCACGAAATGTACCTGAAGAATCTTCGTATTCATTATCCTATCTTTCATCCTCCTCCTCATCAACAACATCTTGTCCACGTTCATCTGTGATTTCTGATTACTCTGACCTTAATCATCCAACGTCAACTGCTGATAATGGTAATAATAATATTTCCGACCAAATATGGTTACCGAAACATCGATATTTTAAATCTAACCGAGGTTTACCAACTGAGCATACTATTCAACCAATTATCCCAAATAATAATAATTGTCTTGATCCAAATTCATTGGGATTTCTTAATGGACGTGTTGATGATTCAAATATCTTATCAGAAAGTGAACCTACATCTACAACAACACCATGGTTTGCGGCGGCAGCAGCAGCAGTGGCTGTTGTTATGGCTGCATCTCAATCTCCATCAACTAATCCAGCTTTGGATCCGTACACAGTATCATGTAATCTGAATGAACGTTTTGCATTGACTGATAACATGAGTTTAAATCAAACAGATATACATAATTCTCGACGTATTCCAGTGAGTGCAACGAACTTTTCAAAGGTAATAATGTTAATTATAATTTTTTATTGCTATGCTTTTGTTTTTTTGATGTTACCTTAAATTATTATTTTAGACCTATAGATAAACTGTAACCTCGCCTGGTTGACTAGTTCACTAGTTACTAGCCGGTCCTAAGCCCGGGTAAAGAGGGAAGGTTGGGCATAGGGCTAGCAACCCTACCCCGGAAAACAAATCTAACCGCTAAAGAAACTTCAATGCACAAACAAAATATAAAAAATGAAAACAAAATTATTCCCCGCTGGAATCGGAGAGGCGAAATGACGCCAGTTGGTGAAAGCCTTTGGGAAGCCAATTGACCGATGTGTCTTCTCTCTCTCGATGAAAGCGAAAGTAAACGTGGGGACATGGAATGTCCGCACCATGTTTGAACCCAGTAAGGCAGCCCAGATTGCAAAGGAGATGAGAAGGTTTACATTGAAGTGGTAGGAATTTGCGAAAGCAGATGGAATGGAAGTGGACTCTCCAAACTGTCAACTGGAGAGGAGAGTCAATAATCTACTCCGATATTGTCAACCAGACGACAACCACGAGCACACTGAGGGAGTGGCTATCATGATGTCCACAACACCATCGAAGACTCTCTCATGCAGTGGGAACCAGTCTCCTCCAGGATCATGACAGCAAGATTCAACTCAAAAGGAAGGAAGGTCACAATCATACAATGCTACCCTATGCACCTACAAATAATGCAGAGCAAGAGAAAAAGGAGGAATTCTACAGACAACTTCAATCAACACTGGACAAGACGTCAGTTGGCGATATCAAAATTCTAATGGGCGACATGAATGCCAAACTGGGAGGGGACAACACAGGAAGAGAACTAACCATAGGTCGAGAAGCACTCGGTGAGATGATGAACAAGAATGGAGAACTGTTTGCAGAATTCTGTGCATTCAACGATTTGGTGATTGGAGTCAGGCAGTGTGTTCAAGCACAGGGATATCCACAAAGCGACATGGATTTCACCAGACACCAGACACACTAAAAATCAGATCGACTTTATCCCAATCTCAAGAAAATGGAGATGCAGTCTACTTGACACAAGGTCAAGAAGAGGAGCCGATGTAGGTTCAGACCACTCACTATCTAGTGCAAGGAACCTACCTTCCAAATCAAGTTAAAAGCCTTCAAGGAAGCTGGTGATAGACCTCAATTCAAGTACAACACTCGGAAACTGAAGGATGAAACTACAAAGGAGATCTTCAAAGCAGCCAGCCATCAAGACAAAATGGGAGACGTCGAGGGACATCCCTGAAGAAACCTGTGTGGAAGAACACTGGAAGTCTTTGAAAGCTATGTGGAAAGAAACCTGCACAGCCGTATTAGGAAGGAAGAAGGTGGAAGATACGGAATGGATCTCGACGGATACCCGGAAGCTGATAGAGGAGAGGAGGATGGTGAAACAGAAGATAAACCAGTGCAAGGATGCTCAACGACAAGAGGAACTGAGCACAATGTATAAAACACTGCACTGGACAAAGAAGTGAAGAAGAGTGCACGCAAAGACAAAAGACACTTATACGACACACTGGCAAGTGAAGCAGAACAGGCTGCAGGTAAGAGAGACCTGACGACATTGTATCAAATAACCAGGTTGCTATCAGGGAAGAACCAACACAGATGAAACCAATAAAAGATGAAGAAGGAAATTTAATTACAAAAGAAGAGAAACAGAGGAAACGATGGGCCGACCACTTCAAGAAGCTCTTGAATCGACCACACCACCACCTGCACTTCGTCCAGAAATACCACCTGCAGCCGCTGAATTACAAGTGAACATAAATCCTCCAACGAAAATGGAAGTCCTGAACGCCATAAAGCTACTGAAATGTGGGAAAGCAGCAGGACCAGATGGAATACCGCCAGAAGCACTGAGACAACAGCGGACATGCTCACACCACTATTGCAGAAGGTGTGGAGGGAAGAGAGGTACCTGACGATTGGAAGAAGGGTTACCTTGTCAAACTGCCGAAGAAGGGAGACCTCAGTGCTTGCAATAACTGGTGCGGAATCACTCTCCTGTCCACCCACAGCAAGTAAAAATATTAAGCGCATCATC